CTATATTTCCTATAAACCATATCTGTCTTGTTGTTAAAGCTCTATGCTAATACAGAGTGATACATTTAATACTACAAAACGTATAATTGCAATGTTGAAGGTATGGCATAAAGTGTTTCATGTGATCTTGCGTGTGCGCACGCGCACACACACACACACACACACACACACACACATCTTGTTTGTTGTGTAACGCCACTCTCAGCAATACTGCAGCAATATGGTGGTGATCTGTCAATAATGGAGTCTGGACGAGAGATTCCAGTGACTGACATCATGTGCATCGATCTACGGAAATGGGATACGTGAATCTGATCACTCGATCCTTGCTCTGACTTGCTCAGACTTTGCTCAAACTTACAAAAATCCATAAAGAACATTTATTATGTTTATGATGGAAAAGTGACTTTCCATCCTTTGGAAAAATGGAAATGTTTTATTTGTCTATATATTGACAGACCATATTGCTGCAGTATTGCTGAGAGTGGCGTTACGCAACAAACAAACCAGAAAAGTACGCACAACATATGTTTATCCGCTTGTATGTTTCAGTTGTTTCAGTGGCCCAGTTGAGTGCCTATCGTGGAAATCCGGATAGTGAGTAGAACACTGTTGGGGACATTCATCTGTCCCTTTAGTCCCCAGAGACACTATAGAGACGTTATTCTTCTCGTGTCCCTGATAACTATACAATACATCGGACAGACACGGAGTAATGATATTGTCTGGTTCACTAAGCCGCACGATCCCTCCGCATATAGTTCGAACAACATGGCGGGCGACTTTGAGAAACACCTCTACACATATATCCTGACTAGATATTAAGTACACAGTTTGATATCGGGGACATGTTTTCTAGCTTATCTCCCATTTGACAGACAGTCAGTTGACAGACACTGAAGCATAAGGTTAATTAGGGTAACACCTCGTGGCATAATGGAACAGTCCACATTCTAGTGAATAGAGTAGGGTGATTCTGAAACAGGTTCGTTACTGAGAAGTTTGATTGAGTGTAAATAGAACTTTGTTGTGATTAAATGAAAATCTGCCTTCTCTTCTCAAAATTCTTTAACTATCAATTACTATTGAATATAAAAGCAGGTAGTAGCTAATCTGTTCACTGAACCGCAAATGTTGTTGTTATAAAGCGTCTGCGAACTGCCTGTCTGCGTAATGGGAGGACACCCTTTAGTGGTATATTGCACATATATTCATGATCACACCTGGGTGTAAGGCATCAGTACGTGTGCTGATTCAGGTTTGTTTGTTTTTCAGGGTTCTCCGTGACCCGCCCTACTGGTGAGTACAGTATTCTAACAACACTGAATCAAAGTGTGTGAAGTAAAGGGACACGATATCACTAAAATGTATGAGTGAGTGAGTTTAGTTTTACGCCACTTTTATTCCAACAATATCACGGCGGGGGACAGCAGAAATGGGCGTCACACATTGTAGCAATGTGGGAAATCGAACCCGGATCTTCGGTGCGACGAGGGAACGCTCTAACCACTAGGCTACCCCACCGCATTTATGAATCCGTATCACATTGCAACGATACCAGGTTTTGTGAAAAGGTGAACATAATCTTCATCCTGCCCTGGCGGTGCATTGTTTTAATGCAATTTTAGTTGTTTTTTTTCTAATCATAGACAACATACAATACAATCAATCAAAACTACTTCGTCCACACTTCGGAGATGTTGTTTGTTTCCGTGGTATTGTTTGCTTGTTTCCGTGGTATTGTTTTTCTGTTTTGTTATGTTCCTGTTTAACGCTAACATATCATGCATGTATCGCATAGTGGACATAGTGGACATAGTGGACACAGTGGACATAGTGGACATAGTGGACATAGTGGACACAGTGGACACAGTGGACATAGTGGACACAGTGGACATAGTGGACCTAGTGGACACAGTGGACCTAGTGGACACAGTGGACCTAGTGGACATAGTGGACACAGTGGACATAATGGACACAGTGGACATAGTGGACACAGTGGACATAGTGGACCTAGTGGACACAGTGGACCTAGTGGACACAGTGGACCTAGTGGACATAGTGGACACAGTGGACATAATGGACACAGTGGACATAGTGGACACAGTGGACATAGTGGACACAGTGGACACAGTGGACATAGTGGACACAGTGGACATAGTGGACACAGTGGACATAATGGACATAGTGGACACAGTGGACATAGTGGACACAGTGGACATAGTGGACACAGTGGACACAGTGGACATAATGGACATAGTGGACACAGTGGACATAATGGACATAGTGGACACAGTGGACATAGTGGACACAGTGGACATAGTGGACACAGTGGACATAATGGACATAGTGGACACAGTGGACATAGTGGACACAGTGGACATAGTGGACACAGTGGACATAGTGGACATAGTGGACACAGTGGACATAGTGGACACAGTGGACATAGTGGACACAGTGGACACAGTGGACATAGTGGACACAGTGGACATAGTGGACACAGTGGACATAATGGACATAATGGACACAGTGGACATAGTGGACACAGTGGACATAGTGGACACAGTGGACATAGTGGACATAATGGACACAGTGGACATAGTGGACACAGTGGACATAGTGGACACAGTGGACACAGTGGACATAATGGACATAGTGGACACAGTGGACACAGTGGACATAGTGGACACAGTGGACACAGTGGACCTAGTGGACACAGTAGACATAGTGGACACAGTGGACATAGTGGACACAGTGGACATAGTGGACACAGTGGACACAGTGGACATAGTGGACATAGTGGACACAGTGGACATATTGGACATAGTGGACACAGTGGACAGAGTGGACATAATGGACATAGTGGACACAGTGGACATAGTGGACACAGTGGACATAGTGGACACAGTGGACATAGTGGACATAGTGGACACAGTGGACATATTGGACAGTGGACACAGTGGACATAGTGGACACAGTGGACATAGTGGACACAGTGGACATAATGGACATAGTGGACACAGTGGACATAGTGGACACAGTGGACATAGTGGACATAGTGGACATAGTGGACACAGTGGACACAGTGGACATATTGGACACAGTGGACATAGTGGACATAATGGACACAGTGGACACAGTGGACACAGTGGACATAATGGACATAATGGACATAGTGGACACAGTGGACACAGTGGACATAATGGACATAGTGGACACAGTGGACACAGTGGACACAGTGGACATAATGGACATAGTGGACACAGTGGACATAGTGGACACAGTGGACACAGTGGACACAGTGGACATAATGGACATAGTGGACACAGTGGACATAGTGGACACAGTGGACACAGTGGACATAGTGGACATAATGGACACAGTGGACACAGTGGACATAGTGGACACAGTGGACATAGTGGACACAGTGGACATAGTGGACATAGTGGACACAGTGGACACAGTGGACACAGTGGACATAGTGGACACAGTGGACATAGTGGACATAGTGGACACAGTGGACACAGTGGACATATTGGACACACCTGATATTGATTTATACACGCCCCGAATTAATGTTACCAGCATTTATCTTCGTTTTAGTTCCCTTAGTTTTGTTAGTGTTATCACATTGGGTCAAAAAGGACTTACAGTACCTTTCCTGCCTGCATGGACCCAAGCTGGATTTACACCATCTCCACAATGAACCGGAACCGTCAAAGAGTGGACAAAACATCTATCGATATCACAATAATCGATAATCTCGATACCACAAGAATACATACCTGTCTTCAGCAACACACGCTCGTGAGAGGCGCCTAGCGGGATCGAGTGATCAGACTCACTTGCATGATGCATGCCATGGTATCCCATTTGCGTAGATCGATGCACATAACGTCAGTCACTGCAATGTTTTTGATCTTCAGTAACCCATGCTTGTCGTAAGAGGCGACTAACGGGATCGGGTGGTCAGGCTCGCTGACTTGGTTGACACATGTCATCATATCCCAATTGCGTAGATCGATGCCAATGCTGTTGATCACTGGATTGTCTGGTCCAGACTCGATCATTTACAGACCTCAGATTATAGATGGAATTTTGCTGAGTGCGGCGTAAAACTAAATTCACTCACTCTCGTCCAAACTCGACTATTGACAGACTGCCGCAATATTGCTGTAGTATTGCTGAGAGCGGTGTTAAACAACAAACAAAAAAGAAAAGTATGAAAAACATATGTTTACCTGCTTGTATGTTTCGGTTATTTCAGTGTCCTGGCCCAGTGTGCGTCCTAGGATAGTGAATGGTGTGAGTGGAGTGAGTGAGCGAGTTAAAAATTATAGTCACATCCGCAATATTTCAGCTATATCGTGACCAAAGCAGGTAATACATTAACAATAGATAATATGTGAATATAAATTCGGCCGACAAAGGGCAGTAAAATTACTAGATTATCACAATTCGAGACATTTAAACTAGCATTTAACTTAACAATTCTATGACGATTTGGGACAATACAACATAAAAACGGGCTCCAGATCGCCAACACGAGATCGGGCCACGTGGACTTACAGTACCTTAGCTGGAGTTACACCACCTCCACACACCACCATGCAATAATGTTACGGTTCTTCAACACCGTTCGTGGACACAGCCATAATTAATCTCTGTTAATAATCATATCCTTCCAAACATTGTGAAAATCGATAGTGAGTAGAACATTATTGGGGACACTTATCTGCCCCTTTAGTCCCCAGAGACACTATACAGACGATACTCCACGTGTCTCCGTGAACTACACAATACATCGGACAGGTACTGTGTAATGATATTATCTGGTTCACTAAGCCGCATAACTGTGGATCCCTCTGCCAATAGATCGAACAACATGGCGGGCGATTTTGAGAAAATATTCTTCACATATATCCTAACTAGATATTAGGTACACAGTTTGGTGTCGAGGATAGGTGTATCAGTACTTGTGCTGATGCAGGTTTGTTTGTTTTTCAGAGTCCATGTTCATGATCAGTCCTGAGGTTGAGTCCTACAGACGACCACCACCTGCAGGTATGTACGAAAAGCGACAAGATATCACTAAAATGTATGAGTGAGTGAGTGTAAGTGAGTGAGTTAAGTTTTACGCTGCTGTTAGCACTATTCCAGCAATATCACGGCGGGGTACACAAATGTGGGGAATTGAACGCGGGTCTTCGGCCTGTCGAGCGAACGCTTTAACCACTAGGCTACCCCACTGCCTTTATGAATCACTATCATATTGCCATGACACCGGGTTTTGTGAAAATGTGAAGACAATTTTCATCTTGTCCTGGCAGTGGCACCTAAACAAAATGCATTGTGTATTTACCTTTTTACTAATTCATTTTTCATCGCTCATTCTCTCACTCACTCTTTGTGTTCAGGCCGTTCTAAGATGTTTCGAGCTAAACGCAAAGTGATGTTGAAAGGCCCTGCAGGAATACATCTCCAGGGTTACAGAAATCAGTGACATGACGCCGAGGAAGAGATCCCAAAGATGCTGACATCAGGAGACTGAAATAAAGAATTTTTGTTCATGAAAACATTTTGTTCGACCATTCTTTTCGCGATGAGACGCTGTGATGTGGTCTATAGAGAATATCACCCGAGTGTGTTTTAATATCAAATATATATCCACGAGTTGATAAAAGTGAGAAAACTCACTCACTAGACACGAGGGTGAGATTATATTTAAAATCCAATATCACACTTAATTTGTCGTTCAAGAGAAATAAAAAAACGATCGAAACGTCACCTCCAGGTTACACTATACCAAATCAGAATCCGTATTCCCGAACCTTCAGCACAGACTGAATCATCTGACAGCTGATTGGGTGCTTTTGTGTAATTTTTTTAAAATGTACTTCCGCCCAGTAATTTAATTTGACCATAGTATTTAATAGTTAGCGCTGTATTGTTTTACTGATGACCACAGGTATCTTCAAACAGTTGACATGCGGAATAGGGGTTGGTCTGTTTACCTTCCTCTACTCGGAAAAGCAACAGCCTGAAGGGTATCCTCCCATTTGTCAGATGTGCCATTTGTCAGACAGGTTAAAACAACAAACTATCTGGTTGAGTGCACAGCTAATACCCTGACTGTTACCTCTTAATGAGTTAATAGGAATGGCCCATAAAACAAATAACAGAAATCAGAAATGTAAGAAATCAGGGAAGACTTTTTAATATATATAATATATATAATAATAACAATCAAAATAATGACCACATCCAGTACAAGTAAGCAAATCAGTATGAAATCAGCCAGAACTGATTATATTAGATTCTAAGATGCCTAGCGGTTAGAACAATCGAAAAAAAGATACATTATCAGACAATAAAGGTATAGTTTTTTGATGACGTAACAATTGAATGACGTTATCCCGTCACTGCGCCATTCTAGTATGCCCCTCGTAATCGAACCGTGTTACATTACGTCACAATGTAAGCGACGTCACGATGCATGTCAGTTGTCATCGCCTCGTACGGCCTCCTACAGTAAACTACTCCGTTGCATCCCGTTTCTTGGTTTGCAGTTGCTTCACGCAGCTAACATCACTGGTGGAAACATTACGTTTATGTTTTACGACGGTTAAAATGTGTCAATTCGACTCACAAGCTTTCGGCGACACGGTAACGTTCGCATTGTCTACATTCCCACAATGCAATCGTGGAATGTCGCTTGACTACTCAGCTTCATCTGGATGCACTGATCTAAACTTACGTTGGCAGTAGAAATGCGACGTTCATATTGCCCCATATGGTTTACGTTAATGACAGATGTAATTAAAATAATTCAGAGAAGATATTTAATCCGAATGTAAACCGTCATCAAACTGTTATCATTTGTTTTCTTCTGGTAACGTTCGTCTTAACGTAGGGGGGCAGACACATCAATAGAACAGTGCGCCAGTTAGCCCTGTGCGAGGATTCTTAATTTAGGTCACCGACACCGTCGTTTATTTTCTGCCCTGAACTATTATAACGTTAAAGCACTCGGACGCAAGCGTCCTCGTACTTTAACTATAATAGTTCAGGGCGAAAGTGTGTTTTATTACACTATACATGGTGGTAGAGCGAACTGTATTTCTTAAGTAGAGTTCAATATTGTCAGTCCAGGTTCAATAGGTGTCCAACAGCATCCAGGAATTGAACAGATGTCTTCTGGCCACTTGTCAGCTTCTCTTTCAATCGGAGCAGTCTCCCCTCAGACTCTATGTAAACCTTCTTCCTGGGTAAGGTAGCGGCACCAAAGTCAATCTGCGTTAGCTTAGCGCCTTCCGATGTCTCTATGGCTTGGATCAGGTCCACAAATCGGTACAGGTTTGGGTGCTGATGTTATAGACTTCTGTTCACACGAGCATGAAATCCCTCCAATTGTTGTTTGTCCTCGGTCCAACTCTGCACTTGGGGATCTTCCTTGTACTGTATAGCTAAGCCTAGATCTTCCTCCAAACGGCCTTGAGAATCTGCTGCACCTCTGTCTTCAGCAGCGTGAACAGCCTGGCGTATGTTGTCGGTTGGGCAGCAGGGCGAAGACAAGTGGGTACATCGTCTCTGGCCCGTTCCCGCAAACTGCTAACAAATTGGACTTGAGTCGGATCTCTAGGCGGATGGCAGTGGTGCGAGAAATCTTTCAGGAAGTCCGCAACAGTGGAACATTTCCCTCGGCATGTCTTGATGATACATCTCCAGTGTGTGGTCTGGCCTCTGGTTCTATCCTTAGAGTAGGTGAAGCCATCAAGAAGTACTTGTGGGGTTCCTCTCTGAGACTCAATGCATTCAACTCTGCGTATACCAGCCATTACAGCGATATCTTACTGACTTAAGAGATCATGTTATATAGTACATGTGAGATTATACTTATGTTTTGGAGAAGCTTAATCCATTTAAGTAATAAAATAATGCAAAACAAATTCAGTTAAAACCTATTGATTAATCTTTACTGAGCCTCACGTACTTCCTGTATTCCATATCGTTGAACAAACTACTCCAAATTTCGTTACTACAACACATGCAACCCGTCACACTGATCAAAAGCAAATTACAAATATAATCATAATCTGGTTAATCTGTATCACTTAACGAACTTGAGAGCGGGGAGTAGCCTACTCTGTTCACAGTTTGGAGCAGCTCATTAATTAGTGGGTAAGTCCAGGCACTGGTCACACTTGACTGGTGTGTCTGATAATTGGGCCGTCTGACAAATGGCACGTCTGACAAATGGGATTGAACCGCCTGAAGTGTTCATATTTTATATTTTTATTGCTTCTTTATGGCCATTCTATGCACACATGTACATGTAATAGGTAATAATAATAATAATAATAATAATAATGGGGGCCTGATGATGTACGCCTCTCCGTGGTGGGCCTAGATAGGGGAATTATATTCCCTGAACCAAACGTGCATCACCCAGTTAGGGCTGACCCCCCGAAGCTGGTTTTTCACTGGGTTACAGACAGCCAAAAGGAAAGTTTAGATTCACTTCCGCAGCCCAGTCAGCCTTCCTCCGGTAGTGAAACCAACCATACTGGAGATGGGACTTGCCCCAGGGGAAGGCACAGTGAGTGAGTGAGTTAAGATTTTAAGTCACATCGGCAATATTTCAGCCATATCGTGACTAAAGCAAGTTATAAATAGATCAACAATTTAAGTGAAATTATAAAATTCTGCCAACGAAGGACAGTAAAACAACTAGATCATCACAGATATATACGTAAAACTAGTAACTGAATCTAAAACACTATAACTATGGGGGACAACACAATATAAAAATGGGCTATAGATCGCTAACAACTGAAGGTAGATCACCATACTAGGGACCATGGGGACTTACAGTACATTTGCTTCCTGCATGGACCCTAGCTGGATTTACACCATCCCTTCAGCCGTCAGCAAGTTTTGACAAATTAGCCATAAGTTAAAATAACACATATTCTACGATTAAAACTAATGGTATATTTAAATTTAGTTTGAATGCTTTGGGACTTACGTACCCTCTCAGGAGGACAATAATTTTACGCTACTTCAACCCCCTTTGAGGGTACAGCCACTAACAATCTCAGTTACTAATTTAAACTACCAATAATAAAATATCTATCTATTTACAAATCAGTTAGCAAGTCTAATTTTTTTAAAAAGGCAATAATTAAATGAGAACTTATATGACTAAAAAGATCCTTCATAGTTTTTACTTTGAAATAAATATCCCTTGTGATGGAATATTCAACACAGTCAAGCAAGACATGCTTGACCGTGATTCTTTCATCACAAGGGATACAAAATGGAGGATCCTCACCTTTTAATAGGTACTCATGAGTATATCTAGTGTGGCCAATACGACATCGTCGTATGATGACCTCTTCAAATCTGGACTGACAACCCAAGTAGGTGTAACCAATATAGGGTTTTATTTCATGTAATTTATTTATACCTACTTGGGTGTCCCACTTCTTCTGCATCAGATCACGGATGTAGGTTCTAATGCTTGCTTTGTAATCAGAGTAAGGAATAAGAGTGGTGTCACAGACTTGTTGAGTGCTGCCTTTGCAGCAAGATCGGCCATTGTATTCCCAGAAATACCAACGTGACTGGGTAACCAACAGAGGACGATGTCGCATTGGCCAGTTGCAAGATCATTATATAATTCTATAATTTTTATATTAAAAGTGGATGTTTACAAGAAATATTTTTAATAGCCTGAAGGCAAGACAGAGAGTCAGAAAAGATTATGTATTGTTTATATTTAGGGTGTCTATTTATATATTTGAGAGCTGTTAGGATTGCGTTTGCTTCTGCTGTGAAAATGGAACTGTCAGTGGGTAATCTGGAAGAGATTGTTTTGGACCCAATGACAGTGGCACAAGCAACCGCGCCACCATCCTTGGACCCATCTGTAAATAAGGATTTATATGTATTATATTTACTTTTTAATTGATTATATTCTTGTTTATATTGTCAGTCATTAGTTTCTGATTTTTTAAATTTAGTGAGTGTTAGGTCGACTTGTGGCCTAACCAATTGCCAAGGAGGAGAAGAAAGAAGACGGGAAGGAGATATATTCTCCAAGTCAATGCCAGCAGCAGAAATATATTGTTGGATTCTTATCCCAAGAGGTGGGACAAGTGAAGGCTTTTTATTATACAAATCCTCATAAAGAGGATTAAAAACGCAAGTGTGAGCAGGTTTGGATTCATTAGAATATAACTTTGTGATATATTGTAGGGACAATTTGATACGGCGAAGTTTTAAAGATGGCTCATCGGCCTGAACGTAGAGACTGTCAATGGGAGAGGTTCTGAAAGACCCAAGACAAAGTCTTAGACCCTGGTGATGGATAGAATCAAGTAGTTTGAGGTTGCTTTTGCAGGCCCCACCATATACGATAGAGCCGTAATCAAGCTTCGAGCGGACAAGTGATCTGTAAAGGTGTAGGAGCGTAGCTTGATCCCCTCCCCACCTTGAATTAGACACGACTTTTAATAAATCGAGTGCCTTCAGGCATTTAGTTTTCAGGGATTTGATATGCGGAAG